GGATATTAGCCCTTTCTCAGATACAGGGTTGGTGATGATACTTTCCCAATTTGTAGGCAGTTGTTTGGTTTTGACAACAGTGTCCTTTGCTTTTTAGAAGCTTTTCAGTTTCATGAGGTCCCATTTATTGAATGTTGCTTTTTGAGCCTGTGCTGTTGGTGTTCTCTTCAGGAAGTTGTCTCCTGTGCCAATGAGTTCAAGAATCTTTTCCACTTTTTCCTCTAAAAGGCTTGGTGTGTCTGGTTTTATATAGATGTCTTTGATCCCCTTGGACTTTATTTTTGTGAAGGGTGATACGTATGGGTCTGTTTGCATTTTTCTACATGTAGACATCCAGTTAGACCTGCACCATTTGTTGAAGATGCTATCTTTTTTCCATTGTATGGTTTTGGCATCTTTGTCAAAGATCAGTTGTCTATAAGTATGTGGGTTTATTTCAGTGACTTCTATTCAATACCATTGATCCACCATTCTGTATCTATGCCAGTACCACGCAGTTTTTATTGCTGTTGCTCTATAGTACAGCTTGAGATCAGGGGTGGAGAACCTCCAGAAGATCTTTTATTGTTGAGGATTATTTTAGCAATTTTGAGTTTCTTGTTTTCCATATGAAGTTGAGAATTTTTCTTTCAAGATCTGTAAATAATTGTGTTTGTATTTTGATGGAAATTGCATTGAATGTGTGGAATGTTTTTGGTAAGATGGCCATTTTTACTATGTTATTCCTGCCAAGCCATGAGCACAGGAGATCTTTCCACCTTCTGATTTCTTCTAATTCTTTCTTTAGAGACTTAATTTTTTTTTCATACAAGTCTTTGACATGTTTGGTTAGGGTCACACTAAGTTACTTTATGTCCTTTGTGGCTTTTTTGAAGGGTATTCTTTCCATAATTTTTTTCTCAGCCCTTTTGTCTTTTGTATGGAGGAGAGATACTGAGTTTTTTGAGTTAATTTTGTATACAGACACTTTGCTGAAGGTGTTTATCAGTTGTAGGTGTTCCCTGGTAGAATTTTTGGGGTCACTCAGGTATACTATCATATCATCTGCAAATAGTGATAATTTGACTTCTTCCTTTCCAATTTGTATCCCTTTGATCTCCTTTAATTGTCTTATTACTGTAGCAAGGAATTTAAGAGCTATGTTGAAGAGATATGGAGATAGTGGGCAGCCTTGACTTGTTCCTGATTTCAGTGAGATTGCTTTAAGTTTCTCTCCATTTAGTTTGATGTTGGCTATAGGCTTGCTGTATATTGCATTTACTATGTTTAGGCATGTGCCTTGTATCCCTGATCTCTCCAAGACTTTAAACATGAGTGGATATTGGATTCTGTCAAATGCTTTTTCAGCATCTACAGAGATTATCATGTTTTTTTTTTTCTTAAAGTTTGTTTATGTGGTGGATCACATTGATGGATTTCCATATGTTAAAACACCCCTGCTTGACTGGGATGAAGCCTACTTGGTCATAGTGGGTTCCTGTCTCTTTATGATGGTCTCAATTTTTTGTTTCCTCTTTATATGCAACTAATTGTGCCTCTACTTGTGCCTCTATTTGTTTGGCTGTATTTGCCTGTATTTCTTTGAGCAATTTGTTCATTTCCTTTTATTTGCCTCCATTTGTGTGGCTATTTCTTTGAGAGATTTGTTTGTTTCCTCTTTATGTGCCTGTAATAACTGGATAAGTACATCTTTAAAATCACTTTCCTGTGTTTCTGATAAAATATCCATTGATTTTGCTGGTGAAACCATGATGTCCTGATGGTTGTGTTTGTTGGGTGTGTTCTTAGGCTGACCTCTGACCATCTGCTTATCTGTAACCTTCACTGTTTGTTCCTGGAGTTTCTACTTCAGACTGGGTCTCTCTCTGGTGTCTGGAGTATTCAGGAAGATGAAAGAGGTTCACTGGTTTGAGAACATGCATTGGCATTTCAGCTGTACCTAGGGGAGTTAGGTCTGCAGATGCAGATGCACAAGTGCAGGCAACCAAGAGTGGGTGTTTGAGTGGATGTGTACCTTGAAGGACAGTTTGTTAGAGAGTGTAGGTTCCTGGAATGCAGGAACAGGAGGGCGTGTGGACCCTGATGCTGCTCCCAGGGACAATGCTCATGTGCAGATTCCATGAATACCTCAGTGGCCTACAGGCCTGTCATACTGTCCTTCTGGTATTGAGATCTGTCTGGGCTCCAGAAGTTGTTTGCCTGGACTCAACTGATAGTCCCACAGCATAGGGGCTTTAATTTTGAGAAAGCTGTCTCAAGAATATCTATGTTGTCCACAGTGGGTGTGTGGGTGGGAGGGATCTGATGTCTGGCTGCTAGGGTAGAGGGACCCTTGATCTGGGGTTCTGCATGTACTCACTTGAAGGCACACTTACTCTCTAGCAGATCTAAATGGAAAGCACAGGTAATTTCCCTGTTCTCTACTCTCAGATTTGAGCCTGCCAGGTCAAATGTGTGTGTGGGAGCTCCATCAGCTCAGTGGTGCAGCTGCAGAACTTGGAGGCTGGCATAGCAGCCTGCTGGAGACCAGCCACACTAGCAGAACTGGGGGGATGCTGGTACAGATGTTTTCTGGGAGGCCCTTGGGAGCCACAGACCTGTATGGCCTGGGGAATATGAGTGGCTCTTACATCTGACAGCCTGTCACTGTGGGAGTATGAGGCCTGCCTTCTCTATCTTAGATACGAAAAAACAGTTCTGTGCTAAGAGCCCTGGGCACTGCAGGCATCCATGGAGGAGAGAGGAAGAAAGCCATCAAGAGGATTTTCAGGGGTATTGAATGTTCACCAATCTCAGTCCACAGAGAAGTCCACAGGTGGCATGGTTCCAAATGGTCTTAGCTCACAGGTTGTCCCCTCTCACCCCTCAATGTTGGTGTTCTGACTTCAGCAGCCCCTCCACTAAACAATTCAGAATTTCTGTCCTTCAGATATGGCACACACTGGGCGCTGCCATCTTGAATCACCTGAAGTGCAGATTTTTAAAGTATATCCTTAATATTTTCTATATTTTCTCATTGTCTGTTGTTGTCTCCCTTTTCATCTCTAAATTTTGTTTCTTTTTTTTAATTTATTCATTTTGCACCCAGTTTTAGCTCTCATCTTTCTCACCTCCTGGTGCCTCTCTTCCTCCCTGTTTCTGCTATTCCTCCTTCCCTACTCCTCAGAAAAGGGGAGCCCCACACATTGAGGCTTTCCCCACAGTCGCTGCCGGTGCAGGCTGAAGGCATTTATCCCCTGGTCAGCTGCAGCTTCCTACACACTAGTCATTTTCTGGCTGAGTATTGAATGTGAAATACAGGTAGATTTCAAGTGAATGCAGGTCATTACTGTCCCTCCTGAGCATATCACGGGGTGAAATTATATTAATTCTCCTACCAGAGATAGCGAATGGAGATTGGAGGGGCTTTCCTGTAAGACCTCATCAGTCATACTACCAATTAAAATGTTTAGGTTATAAATTTAGTTACACAGAAATATATTTATTTTATTGGACTGAAATAACCTTAAAATACTCAGGTTGCTCTGTCCCTGCACCACTTCCACTTGGGAGCTGGATTTGTTGGTAAATATCTGTTTGATAAAATGTTTTACAACAGCAAAACAGCCCCCATTTCCTAATGAGAAAAGGTTCTGATGTGTAAAATAGTTTGGTTCCTCTATAGGAATGACCTTGGTACATTGTACAGACCTTCTGGCCTGCTATAATTGTGATGTGATTGAAGCCTTTTGTTTTTGAAACCCTACACTGCTTTGTCTTTCTGAGGCAGAAGCTTTCTCTTAGCCAGACAGCTAGAGGAGTCTTTACAGTCTTAATTGGCTTAATAAAACTTTTTCATATGGAATGTTTCAGAAAAAAAAGAGTGCTTAATAAAAAAATATACTACCCAATTAAAATATTTTAGATTTAATAGGAATATGCTTCTTCATGAAGTTAGCTTCGTCACTACACTGATACAGTATGTTTATGCAATATAGTAGATTCATTGAATGAGCAAAGTTGATGTGTCAGATTTTCTTTGAGTAATATTGTTTTAGGACAGAAGCGTAATTTTAAAATATTCCGGAGGCTGGAGAGACAGTGCAGTAGATACAAGTACTTTCCTAGCACCTGTGTAAGGTGGCTCATAAATGACTGAAATTCTAGCTCCAGGGGGATCCATCAGAGTGTGTGTGTGTGTGTGTGTGTGTGTGTGTGTGTGTGTGAACACAAATAATACATAATGAAATAAATCTAGGCAAAAATTGTATTTTCAAAAATACTTTTCCTTTTCATCTCTAGGTCTTGAACACAAATCTCCACACATGCTTGTTATGTTCTCTGTTCCTGGTCAACACTTACAGGCCAATAATTCTTTTTTTCTTCTTATCGTTTGTCATGCTATAAAGAACTGTATGTGACCAATTAGAATAATACAGGCTCCCAGGCTATTAAACCACATTACAATAATACCTTCAGAAAAAATAATTCTGGCATAGCATAGCATTAATCAGTAATATCAACATGGGCAGTAACTAGAGATTTGCTTTATGACAAAAACATTTCCATGGGTAACTGTTGTCTAATAAGATCCCACTGACTTTAAAATCTGATAATACATATTCCCAAAGCAAGGAGTATCTCATATTTCCCAAGAAGAGCAACAAGTAGTGGAGAAAACTAATGAAACAAGAGCAGATTATTTCAGGTCTGATAATGAAACCCTAGAGAATCAATTGCCACAATCTTCAAATGCCAAAACATCATTTTTATTAAACACTAGGTATGTTATCGTATTAGTGAGTAGATACAATCCACACACAGAAAAAGCTGAGTTGGATCACCACCTTTAGTAATAAGGTAAAGTTTTTTTTAAACTCAAAAACCACAGAATCCTATTGATAAACAATTGCAGCTAGTTTTTAATCAGACTACAAATTGCAACAAAAAATGGCATAGAATTCATGAAAATGATAAAAGTTAAAATGATAGAATTTTAACGTTTAAAAAAATAATGTTAAGTGCTCACATCGGCAGCACATTAAAATTAGACCTTTACATAGAAGATTACCATGGCCCCTGCACGAGGATGACACGCAAATTCGTGAAGCACTCCATATTTTTTAGAGCAATAAGAAAGCAAAAGGAGATCAGGGGGATTCAGTTCAGAAAGAAAAAAGTCAAAATATCTCTCTTTGCAGATGATATGATAGTATACCTGAGTGACCCCAAAAATTCTACCAGGGAATTCCTACAGCTGAAAAACACCTTCAGCAAAGTGGCTGTATACAAAATTAACTCAAAAATTAACTCAAAAAAATTCAGTAACCCACCTCCATACAAAAGGGCTGAGAAAAAAAAAATTATGGAAAGAATACCCTTGAAAAAAGCCACAAAGGACATAAAGTAACTTAGTGTGACCCTAACCAAGCATGTCAAAGACTTGTATGAAAAAAATTTCAAGTCTCTAAAGAAAGAATTAGAAGAAATCAGAAGATGGAAAGATCTCCTGTGCTCATGGCTTGGCAGGATTAACATAGTAAAAATGGCCATCTTACCAAAAGCAATCTACAGATTCAATGCAATTTCCATCAAATTACCATCACGATTATTTACAGACCCCTTGAAAGAAAAATTCTCAAGAATAATAAGAAGAAACCCAGAATTGTTAAAATAATCCTCAACAATAAAAGATCTTCTGGAGGTTTCTCCACCCCTGATCTCAAGCTGTACTATAGAGCAACAGCAATAAAAACCACATGGTACTGGCATAGAAACAGAATGGTGGATCAATGGTATTGAATAGAAGTCACTGAAATAAACCCACACACTTATGGACACCTGATCTTTGACAAAGGTGCCAAAACCATACATTGGAAAAAAAGATAGCGTGTTCAACAAATGGTGCTGGTGTAATTAGATGTTTACATGTAGAAAACTGCAAATAGACCCATACTTATCACCCTGAACAAAACTAAAATCCAAGTGGATCAAAGACCTCAATACAAAAATGGACACCCTAAACTTGTTAGAAGAAAAAGTGAGGAAGATTCTTGAACTCATTGGTACAGGAGACAACTTCCTGAACAGAACACCAACAGCACAGGCTCTAAGATCAACAATCAGTAAATGGGATCTCATGAAACTGAAAAGCTTCTCTAAAGCAAAGAAAAAAATGACAGCCACAGACTGGGAAAGGATCTTCACCAACCCCATCTTACATTGGGCTAATATCCAGAATACATAAAGAACTTAAGAAGTTAAACAACAGCAAATAAACTAACCCAATTAAAAAATGGGGTACATGAATGGTACTTGGTTGGAGTATGAGTCTCAGGAAAGACCTCTGTGCTCAAATTTTTTGGTTCTGTTGCTCTCCTTGTGGACCTCCTGTCTCTCCAGATCTAACTATTATTTCCCCCTGCACAGATGTAGCCCATGGCAGTTCAGTGTCCAAGTGGGTCCATAGTAATGGGAACAGTGATTGCTTCTGACATGAACTGATTGGCCTGCTCTTTGATTACCTCCTTCTTAGGGGGGAGCAGCCTTACCAGGCCACAGAGGAAGACAATGTAGCCACTCCTGATGAGACCTAACAGAGTAGGATCAGAAGGAAGAAAAAGAAACCCTCCCTTACCAGTGGACTTGGGGAGGGGCATGCATAGAAAAGGATTGGGAGGGGAGGAGAGAGGGAACTAGAGGGGGAATACAAAGTAAATAAAGTATAATTAAAAGGGACTCCAAGACGGAGGCGAGCAGAGCGCACCGTTTTGGAGAGGCAGAAGACATGAATCTCCGGAATTGGTGAGCGGAGAGTCAATTGAAGCTAGAATTTGGACTTTTGGGCTTTCTAAAGGAGAGGAAACACCACAGAAACGTGGAGTGCTTGTAGATTTAGATTGGACTCGGACTTCTCCGGGAAGGAAATAGGGAGCTTCCCTTGTCTGGGCCTCCCGTGGGGAAACCCGCACACAGCACCAGGCAGCTGAGCGAAAAGCTCACATCCAGGAGATCAAGGCAGCAGAGACAGTGCTCCGGGCCCCTTACAGCTTTGGTCTGCTGTAACCACCCATCAAACACCCATTCCCTCCTTGGACACAGGTCCCACTCAGGGTCCTCCGGACCCACGGAGCGTCCCCTCTCCCATCCCACTGACACGATCCTGAGCTAGACCGCAGAAGAAAGTGCAGTGGAGCTCACTTCCCAAGTGGCCAGAGCGCAATAACCCCAGAAACCTCCTCACAGGAGGAGCACAGGCCCAATCACAGAACTCCAACCACTGAGCGCTAACCACAGAGACTCAGATCCACAATACAATTCTTTCTGGATATCAAAGATGCAAAGCTCAGTGTCTGGGACCCAAGACAGGTGGAGGCAGGGAGGCAGGGCTCCAGACCCCGCAGCCGCAGCGGAGAGCAGTAATAACCTGCTGAACACCACCACTCAGAGGAGAACACACCCCACCTAGGGCCCTCTCACTGAGCTCTTGACCAACAGAACACACCCCCCACTACCACCACCACCCGGCTCTGCAGGAGTGCACTCACCACCATACTCCACCCTGCCAAAGGGTACGCCCAGTACAGTGCTAGCCACAGAGACTCAGATCCACAGTACAACCCTTCCCAGACCCCCAAGTCTGCAAGTGGCAGCACAGAATACACAGGGCTGCCCAGCCAGTGATTGTATGGGCCATCCAACCTCTCAGTGGCAGAAAACCAGCTAAATAGACGCCAAAGACCAGCAGATTTGTAAAATCAATACGCACGCGCATTCTTCAACAGCGCTTGTGATCCCTTAGCGCCTGCAACAACTTCAGTGCCTGCAGGACACCCCTCTCACACACTGAAGGCATCTTCATTCACCAATACCCTCTCCCTTGGGACACATCCACAAGCACACGCTCAAACACACGCTACCCCGCACTTGTCCTTCTGCGCCTGCGAACTTTCCTTCTACAGGTATAGCTGAATGACCAACGCACACACTGAAACCACTAGACCTCCCCCACTTTCCTGAAAAATTCTCCAGATACCAGAGAAAAACCAGTCTGACCTGCAGAAGCCAGGAACAGACAGTGAACACTACAGCTAACCAAATGGCCAGAGGTCGGCGAAAGAACACAACCAACGCAAATCAAGATATCATGGCTTCACCAGCAACCTCCAAAATTATTGGACACTCCAACTCAGCAGAAACACAAGAAAATGATTTTAAAGCTATGATTATCTAGTTATTTGAGGCACATAAAGAGGAAACCAACAAATCTCTCAGAGAAATAGTCATAAAGATTCAAACAGTTAAAGAGGATACAAAAAAATCCATTAAAGATTTGGCCTCCCAAATAGAAACAAAGAAAAGCGAAGTGAACGAAGAAGCTCTTAAAGAAACACATGCAAATATAGCCAAACAATTGGAGGCAAAAGCAGAGGCACTAAGAGAGGAAACAAACAAAAAAATAGAGACCATCTTGGAGACACAGAAATCCACACTCAAACAGATGAAGGAAATGTTGCAAGACATGAAAATAGAATTAGAATCAATAAAGAAAACACAAACGGAGAAAACCCTGGAACTGAAGAACTTAGAGAAAAGAGAAGGAATCACAAAGGTAAGCCTCACTAATAGAATACAAGAGATGGAAGAGAGAATCTCGGGTGCTGAAGATACACTAACAGAAATTGATACTTCTCTCAAAGCAAAAATAAAATCAGAAAAATCCCAAATACAAACCATCCAAGAAATCAAGGATGCCATGAAAAGGCAAAATCTAAGAATAATAGGAATTGAAGAAGAAGAAGAGTCCAGGCTACAAGGTCCAGAAAATATTTTCAAGAAAATCATAGAAGAAAATTTTCCCAACCTAAAGAAAGAGATGTCCACAAACATATAAGAGGCCTATAGAACACCAAATAGACTAGACCAGAGAAAAAACTCCTCACGCCACATCAGAGTCAAAACACTTAATCTACAGAACAAAGAAAAGATACTAAAAGCAGCAAGAATAAAAGGCCAAGTAACATATAAAGGCAAACCGATCAGAATCACAACGGGCTTCTCATCAGAAACTATGAAAGCCAGAAGGGCCTGGGGAGATATCATGCAGGCCCTAAGGGACCACAGATGCCACCCTAGACTACTTTACCCAGCAAAGCTTTCAATCAACATAGATGAAGAAAATAAAATATTCCACGACAAAACTAAATTTAAGCAATATTTGAACAGCAACCCAGCCCTACAGAAGATACTAGAAGGAAAATTCCAATCCAATAAAAACAAATACACCCAAGAAAACATAGGTTAAATATAATTTCCAACAAAAATCAAAAGCAAACAAGCAATGATTCTCAGTAACATACCCAACTCCACAATAATAGGAAATAACACTCAATGGTCATTATTATCTATCAACATCAATGGACTCAACTCTCCAGTAAAAAGACACAGACTAACAGAATGGTTGCAGAAACAGGAACCAACATTCTGCTGCATCCAAGAACCACACCTACGCAACAAAGATAAACATTACCTCAGTGTAAAAGGCTGGAAAACAGTTTTTCAAGCAAATGGACCCCCCCCCCAAAAGCAGGAGTGGCTATCCTAATATCTAATAAAATAGATTTTCAACAAAAACTAATCAAAAAAGACATAGAGGGGCACTACATTTTCATCAAGGGAAAAATTCACCAAGAAGACATCACAATTCTAAACATCTATGCCCCAAACACAAGAGCACCTACATTCATAAATGAAACATTATTAAAGCTTAAACTACACATTGATCGCAATACCCTAATAGTGGGTGACTTCAACACCCCACTCTCACCAAGGGACAGATCAACTAGAGAGAAACCAATTAGAGAAATAAAAGCACTTACAGAGTCCCTAAATCAAATGGACCTAATAGACGTCTACAGATCTTTCCACCCAAACTCAAAAGAGTATACCTTCTTTTCAGCACCTCATTGAACTTTCTCCAAAATAGACCATATAGTTGGTCACAAAGCAAGCCTTAACAGATATAAAAAGATTGAGATAATTCCTTGTATTCTATCAGACCACCATGGACTAAAGCTGGACATCAACAACAATGGAAATAACCAAAAACCTACACGCACATGGAA